CCACCCGTCGAAGGCATAACTCGAAAATATTTATTGCTGAAATCCTCGGATACCAACAGAATTGGACAAACTGAACCAATAAGCACAGTAGGAAATCAGATAAAAAAAAAAATGTTTAATTCGAATATGAAACAGAAACTGACTAAATCAAATTTAAGAATACAATTAGAGGATAACAGTTATATAACAATTCTGTGCAATGTTAGGATTACCGAAAAATTAAAAGATTTTGTCAGAGGAAATGTTCTTATAAACCACACAATTTTAAATTATTTTAAGTTAATGGAATTAACAGAAAATACAAAAAATTACTCGTTTAAAGTACAATTTSTGTTAAAACTTAAAATGTAATATAATCCATAGAAAATACCTAAACAACAGTTACAATAACATGTTTAGAACTTTAAACGAAAAGTCTAATACAACTTATCATTACCAAAAATCACTATTTTCACCGTCTCCTTACTTCAAATTTAAAACAATGAAACACTAACTTTTTCAACATAGTTAACGACCAACCGTCAACAACAATATCTTGAATTGCTGTCAAGATATTGATAGCGAATACCACACATACGATCATTKTAAGATTTGGTTTGCCTGATTCTGRTAACCAATCATCGATGTTGTTTGACATATACATTAAAACTATCCCTATAATAATCAGATTATTTTTTAATAAAAAATAATAATGATATAAATGCAAAAATTATAAATTTAAAATACAAAAATGAATGAAATGTACACGAAAATCAGATCAAAATTTAATTGAAAAACTTTTTTAGATTTATATTTAAACTTTAGTAAAATATAATTTACTATATTTAGGTAGATTATAGGTATCTATACTTACCTATTAAATATTGAAGAGGCAATAAYCAAGATTTTCTTCTTCCAATCCGTTGAATATATAGTGAGTCTACTAACGGGGCGAATAAGACTTTCAAAGTAAAAGGCCAAAACACAGTACTAAATAAAGCCTAAGTTAAAACATAATATCATGACACTATATAATATGTTCTATATCAGTGTTTCTCAACCTGGGGGTCGCCAACTTATTATTTAGGGTCGCAATCGAATGATTTAAATCAATWCGAAAATTAAAAGCTCAAATAATAAAAAAATAAAATCAATAAAATATTATTATATTACATACCTATTACGAGTATAGATTATTTATATTAAAATGGAAAACACACTATTATCATTTTTAAAGCGATATTACTCTATGACGTCTATTAAAGAATCTATAATAAACGTTGAATATAGAATATTTCATCGGCTATGAGAATTAGCTTGACGAATAAGTCAATTAAACCAAGAATTGACGAAATAATATCACATCAACAGCAACAACCAAGCCATTAAAAATCTTAATATAAAAATATATTTATATAATAAAATGAAATATTTAATGTACGTTTTTTTTAATTTTAAATAAATATAATATTATAATATGTATCTTTTATATTTCTCGTGTACAGTACTTGTAGTAACTATAGACTCTAGAGTCTAGATTATTTATAATGATAATCTAAGCGAGTATGTAAAAATATATATGTAGGGGTCGCTAAAAAATTTAAATTTAAAAAAGGGGTCGCCACAGTAAAAAGGTTGAGAAACACTGTTCTATATAATATTAGGTATTATATATTACAATAACAAGACTTTTAAAATTGTAAAGTAATAGTATTTGTTAAATGAATTTATGAGTTGAAAAGTTACCTGTTCTTCATATGTAACTATTTTTCTGCTCTGTAAAATTATTGGAATAGAACTGGATAAACCTAATGAAAATCCTTGCATAACGTAAAGTAATAACAACAAGTAGAAGCTTAACCAATCTCCTTTCAGATTAGGTACGTTTGTAATAGTAGATTTGTTAGCTGCATCAGCTGCCTCGGGATCATATTTATTTTTGTATGATTTATTCATGATTAATCAACTTGAAAAATTAACTGTGTAGAATAACATAACACCTTTGGAAAGCAGAATAAAAATTAAAAACAAACTGAATAATGAAGAAAATAATCAACAAAGGTTATWATTAATAACAAACAATTGAATTATATATTTTCGTGATATTATATCTTTTATATCATAGTAGGAAATTTTTCAAAAATATATTTCACTATTTAAATGTAATATAAACATCCACGAGACACGATAGTCATGCGAATAACGAAATCAAAACTACGAAAATATATGTATTATAAAAATATATGCCAATACTTCGCTTTATCAAAATAAAAATTAATATGTAATATAATAAATAATTTTTATGCACCAGTAACGTTTTTATCAAGTTTAATTTGTTATCTCTTTTAATCTACGTTTTATATTTGATTGGTGCAGTCACATTTATTGTTATTATCAATTGTGTAAAAACTACTACTATAGTTTATTTATGTTTCTATAAATTTTATAGTTTCACATTTTTATTTCGAATTAACTATTATTATTATTATTATTAATCATTAAACCAATCAATTTACACTTACGGGTCTGTAAAAATCCTTTGAACATATAAAAAAAGTGTATCAATCATGTGATTAGTGTCTCCTATAAAATGTTAAACTAAATATACAGTAAATAAAATAATAAGAGCAATCAATAGAATAAAACAATATTATATATAATACAAGATTATTCAACAAMATAATATTTAACAAAATATTCGTAAAATGTTTTGATTTTACAATAATTAAAAAGGTTAAGTACGTTAAATATTATAAAATGCAGTATAAAATAAAAATAAATTATATTTAATACCATCTATATTTATAAATACGTACCACATACCTAAAACATAGAAAATTCTCATTTTTCAGTTTTTAATTTTGTATGGCCATTAGTTTTAAATTAAAACATTATTTGAACATATTTTCTTTTACTAGAAACAATACAATTTACGATTTGTACAAATTTTAATAATAACAAAAATAATGATAATAACAAAATTAATAAGAACGTTTGGTACTTTGGTAGACAATATCACATGGTGTGATTGACATAATGAGAAAATCGTCCATTGGTAGTCGGTTATACCGTCTATGCCATTTGAATTTAAAACTGAGTGGTTTCTTTTGTTATTTTTGAAGGGATATTCAATTAGTTTATTATATAATTTTTGGTAGAACTTTGTCAATTACTATTGTGAGTACTGTGGTAAGGGTTTATGATTTATTTTGCTTAATTTAATAAATGAGGATACTATGAGAGTTGATTTGTCCAAATAAAAGTCATGGTTGATCTGATATTTGACTATGCGACATTTATTAGCATGCTGACATTGAATTTACTAGCTTTGGCATTTAGTTTGAATTATTTTTATTTTTATTTGCGAGTTAAGTATTATCTATTTTGTATTCTGTTTGAGTTTAAATATATCATCACACAGGTCAGAGGTTAATTTTGAGATGGAGTAGCGATTGGTAATTTTAATTGGTAGTATCGGCGGGCGCATAACTAACTGGTTTGTTGATTGTACGCGAAGAATTGACTTTGATATAGTAATAACGTTTAAAAAATAATAATCAAAAACTATAACCAACTTTAAGACTACTATTAGTAATTATTATGCTTATTATATAAACAAGTAATTATATTAGTGTTACACCATTAACAAATTATTAATAGACAAWTATGGTATAGGTACTGTACTACTGTATATTTATATGAATATAAATTTAATTTAAATTTTCCATTTATTTTCTATTCCCAAACTTAAAGGTATTTAATAGTTATAACATAATACAAGATAATTAAGCTTTGTTAATAGATACTTACAATATTTTACTTCGAGGCTGGATGTGACGTGGTGATTAACTGTGGTTAGTATAATATGCATGCTACGATCTACCTCTCAGTTAGGCGGCAACCCTGATTTTTAGCGGAAAATTCGGAATTCTCAGCAGCTTGATTTCATAATAACTATTGGTGTAATAATAAATGAAAATAATACAACATTTTTGATTTGAATGTGGTCACGTAATTGCATAAAATAATCTATYATTGCTAAAAATGTATATGCTAAATCGTTTTTCACCGTATTTTAATAATATTGTTAATTATTATTTATTGTTATGTTATTATACATACTCAAATATTAATTTCATTAATTATTATTATTATCAACTTTTAAATTAATAATGACTTACCGTTTAACGATATAAATAGGTGCCTAATAGCCTAAAATTAATCTAAATACTTCTGCAATTTCGGTGTGAATAGTAAAATATAAAAATATATGAAAAAGTTTCAAGTCTCTGCATGAATAATATTTTTGCATATAATCACAAAAACATAACTAAAATCTTTTGATCAACACCAATGCACCTCATGCAATACCACAACTTCAGTTAAGCAAATGCTAACCGAATGCTTCTTAAAGAAGGACTTCAGGGATAGAATAATGCTTGCTATAAGCTATGTGAAATACTTGTAACCAGCCCAGAGATGATATCAATTTTACATAAACTCCTAAAAGACACGAACCTGATCAAGAAAATATAACATATACACAATGTGTATTGGACATTGATAATATCATAATATGTAGGTAATTATAATAATTTAAGCCATTTATGTTTCATATTTAAAATATTTTATACAAATCTTTAATTGTAATCTATACATATTTTATATTTAGAAACGCCAATTAATATATATATATATATATATATGAATAAATAATTTTAATAATACAAATAACCAAAACCATTATTTTATTCGTTTAAATGTTCGATTTCGTCAAAATTTTAATTTAAAATATTTGTGAAATAAAATTGTACATGTATTTTTAAGGTTTCAGTAGTGTCACTAGTTCGTGAACGCCCAGGGTCTCCCGATTGTATTTGTGTCGAGAGCTCCGATAGCACTATGAATATTGGATAGGTATTGTCGTATTTAATATTATTGTATATTATAACATTTATACCATGATAATTTATAATACTATTATCATTTTTGTTATTATTTTATGAAATTAAACACCATACTTGTGAAGCACAAAACAACAATTTAATAATTAGGTAATACAATTTTGTAATAGAATCTTTATAATAGGTGATAGATATAAGTACTGTTATTAAGTTAATGATACGCGACGGTGCSTGATTTAGAGATATACTGACATTGCAGGTCTATCCAAATCAACGATCCAATATGAAATATCTTTTGATTGAATATTTCTGTAATGGCGCTTACAAATACCATACCAAACAAATCCAATCACCATACAAATGSCTGCTTCAATATAGTAACCATCAAAAATTGTCACACAATTATGACCCTGTTTTGTATTACAAATCTAAACAAATCATAAAAAACATTTCATTCAAATTATGCAATGGTTAAACAAATAATACGATGGTAAATAAATACAAATTAAATGATATTAAATGTCCTACATTTTTAAAATCTGTCGAAGAACAACTACCATCATGTCCATCATTTGAACATTTAGTGAATGTTAAAATATCAATCATTTTTAAAATAACAGTATTTGGTATTGTCCATGATAAACTTCGAGCTGTATTCAATAATGTTAAATAAGTGCCTCCAAATCGAGGATCACTTATCTTAATGAAGAATGAAAAATACGAAATTATCATGACGTTAACTATCAGCTAAAATAAGAAAAATTCAGTACTAATCAGTTATCTTATGATATAGGTAATTATGAAAATTATATATATTTCTCATTTCAAAACAATTATTTTTAAAAATGTAAGCACTAATAATCTATAAACGTATTAGTATGTTATAGAATTTCAGACGTACTTCATTTATTGTAAATATAAAACCTAAGATAAAATAATAATATATTGGCACATTTACAACTCCATTATTTTGAATTAAAAACGGCGTATAATATATCAGCAGAACATATGGTATACTCCAAAGTAATCTGAAACACAAACATCATTATCTTAAAAGGAATATAAAAATGGGTTCGGTCAGGCCTCATACAGTGAGTACCTATTCTAAAATATGAAAAATTAAAATATAGATTTTTTTGTACCTTATTGGCGTACATTTCAGGTACAAGCTGAGTGGTTTTGGACCCTCAGTGTACTTAGCTAGTATAACAGGTACAAATATTCTAAAGACAGACAAGGCAGTCGTCATTAACATAATGTCGTCTTTAGAAACACCAGCGTCAATTAATTTCAAGTTAACGACCGTRTCCATTGTAGAAAATCCAATCTATATAATTCCAACAAGAGAAATACTACTATTGTATTATAATTTAGTTTTTTATTCTATACTGAAGATCAATAAATATTGTATATTGCTAATATATTTATAACACATAGAACACATTAAACCAACACTTCTTGAATAAATCAATTTGTACCTATTTCAATTATGTGTGTTATATTTGCAAAAATTTCAAAAATTTCTAAAAACAGAGTTATTTTCCTTCATTACGCCTTTGACTTAAATGACCTACCTTCAAAATACTACAGGTCAAGAAAGATTAATATTTGGTTATAGTAACATTCGACGTACATTAAGACAGCCATATTAATGTTAATTGAACTTCAACAAGATGGCCAAGATATTCGAGGCAATATAATGCTCGTTTCCTACCCATTATATTTTAGTGCGTGTCGGTTGTATTATGAATTGTGGTATCACTAATATTCAAGGGTATATTAAGTATTATGTACATCCAACTTCTATTAAATTAAGGTGATAACAATTTTTTTTTTCAAAAATCTTCARGCACCTAATGTTTTTGGTATCATACCTACATTGCAATGAAAGAGTTGGGATGCGAATTTCGGAATTTTTTTATTGGATCTCTACATCTTATAACACAACTACTGACCAAATTTCATACTCATATAGCTTCGACAGTTTCAGACAGTCAGTGTTAAGATGTAATGCTGTCTGAGGGACACATATTTTTCTGCCTCCTAACCCCCCCCCCTAAACTAAAAAATGTAAGGAAAATTAGTATACGAATACCGCCTATAAAATGTTTTCAAATTTTGCTGCCAGCAGAAATGTCCCCTTTGTCCCTCGTTAAACACGCCTCTGCTTCCAGGCGTTGGACCTAGGTGATGATGAATCAGCCTGTCAGGACAGGTTCTTTTTTATATTCATATATGTATAGATTGGACAATAATTTCACAATATGCAAATAGGTAATTAAGAACTTAAAATTTTAATGTTTCACTAAACTTAACATTTAAAAAGTACTTACCCCCGATGTTAGAACAGTTATTAAAAATATCCTCATATTAGAAAGCTTAAATAGACTCCATAATAGTTTATAATTCTGAAAAATACTGATCTTCACATTTTCTATCCTAGTATCCTTTTCCTTTTTAAAGATAGCAACTAAAGTTGTAATCAATAAAAATACGACGCCCCATAGAAAGATAATACCTGTAAAAACAAAAAAAAATCAATGAACACTCATCAAAAAAAAAAAAATGTTTAGAATTTTACGAAACTAGGTTCCCTTCATCTAATTGATAATGATCACAAAATAATACTATCAAAGTCATTGTTAAACCTATTAATAAAATAATAGCGAAATTTGTGTTAAGACTTAAGAGTAATTATAGGTTATAGTTGAATATATATATGCAATCTATATTCTATGGCGATTAATTATTGTTAACAAAAATATAAAAACTAGGTTGACACTGCACATGACCCCATAACTATATGTCATAAATCTATAAAATCGACGTTCATTCGAGTGAAGTTCAATTGAGTGTTATAAAAATCTTAGAGTGAAAATAAATGTTTTTAATTTGAAAAATATTTATTTTGTGATGTTTTATATTACATAATTTCTATGATAATTGACCCAGGAAAAATCCGAGGGGGCAGATGCCGCTACTTTCATCCCTGCGGGAGCTGACTTGGTTTATTTGAACCAAGTGTAATACACTAATACAATAATGATATATAGTCTAGCCGTCTGGATAATCCCTAGTTTTGAGCTAGGTTACTTAAAGTTACTTTGAGTTTAATGTTAATCACATACCATGACAAAAAATTCAAATCATATAAACTATTTATTTTATAATGCAGTTTTCACGAATCACGTGCTTTTGAAACAAAAATAATCATCTAAAAAATTCTCCATTCTACAAACTATTAGCACCTGAAAAATATAATCTGAAAGTCTGAGACTTGAATAGAAAAATTGTATTATGGGAACAAAATATTTCTAAACATCTGACAAAATATTACTTAATTTGGWGTAAGTTTTTTAAATTCAGGTGGCGCAAGTGGAGGATATTACTCTTCAATCAGAGCGTATTCCATCATTTAAACATTACTACATTAGTAGTTATTACTTCCCCTCACAAAACTTTACTACTTTAATACTGACGTATTCACAACTTTTGCTATAAATCTTTTCAGACCACATTTATGACGTACTTTTGATACTAATTATTCCTCCTTCGCTTGGTGTGAGCCGTAAATATCTGTCACAAAATTGCTCAGATGAAAGAAGAACCGGGCAAACGCAGCCAATTAAGAATCCAATGCCGATACCTGTACAATTGCAAATGGATGCATAACTCRCATTATTTCTGAAAAATAAAAGCTTAAATAATATTCAACTTTTTTATAATTTCTAGAGTTCTTCGCTATAATTTTTATATTTAATATCTAATTTTAACTAAAATTAAATTATTTAAATTTTATATTAAATTTTTTTTTTATAATTCAAGATAACTATTTTATAAATAAATATTTAAAACAGTTTTGCCGTTTAAAACTTTTAATTTGGTTACGTCATTGGTTGTTAAACAATTTTCAAAGATTTTTAAAATTAAAATTTATTTCTTGCTAATCAGTGTTTTGTTATCATTAAAAAGTAATAATAATCAATAATAAATACATATACTTTATCATYATTTAACATGACCACGTGATGCATACCACCATCATTAGTCAAATAGGCCTGTTACACTCTGTATGTGTATATCTACTGCATGTCTGCATGAATACTAATAAAATTAAAAATACGCAAAACCAACAGAGGTACACTAGAATATGATCCCATAATCACAAACAATAAAAATATTTCATTCATAATTTATTAGTATTCTATAAATATTAAAATCGTATTTTTTTTTCTAAATGATTATTGATTACTAATTATAATGACACTCACTTTTTCAACATAGTCAATGCCCAGCTATCAACGGCTATATCTTGAATAGAATTYAACAAATTGATGATGAACAAAAACAACACAATCATCTTGAGGTTCGGTTTTCCTGATTCAGGTAACCATTCATCCATGTTATTAGTGAAATATATTAATAACGCACCTGTTCCGTGTTGATCATTGTTGTTAGTTTACATTATTTAAAAAAAAAAAAAATGATGGTTAGACAATTTGTTACAAAATACGAAGATAATTATATTTTTCGAAACAGATATCGTATACAATAAGTATATACCATATAAGATGGTTGTTTAAAAATGTAATAAATAAACTATTTGTTTAACTATCATATTTCATCATAAACATGAGGTTAAAAAAATATATAATGTAATCAGTAATAGACGTAATAATAATATCTAGTTGAACAGAGTCGTWGGTACAATTTAAATTAATAATTCAATAAAATAATTTGAAGATATTGATGATCAATGTTTAGTAAGTTTAATTAAGTAYTAAAAATATATAATWATAGATGATTAACATATACCTATTAAATATTGAAGGGGTATTAACCAAGATTTTCGTCGTCCTATCCGTCGTACATAGAATGAGTCAACTATTGGGGCCCAAAGTAGTTTCATACCATACGGCCATACAATATAACTAATTGAACCCTTAAACATATATATTATTAATAGCGATTTGATAATATTTCTAAATCACAAAATAAAAAATTATATTTTACTCCTATTAGTTCTTGCAGGTGTTGAACTATTATACTGATAAAAACATAATAATGTAATATTGATTAGGCATTTTTGTATCCACTTATTTTGAATTACACATARTATGCTAATAATAAGTTTAATGATTTAATATTTTTATATAAGATTATATAATTGGTATTACGACCACAACACACAATATCTATAAAATTAAAATAATAGGTATATATTATACTTACTTGGTCATCATAGGTAACCACATTTTTACTCTGAAAAATTATTGGTAAGCCTATTGAAAAACCAAAGGGTATTCCTTGCATGGTGTAAAGTAATGTCAATAAAAAGAGATTACACCAATCTCCTTTCAAATTTGGTTTTTGCCATGTTGATTCAATTGGTGGATCTGTAGGTTTTTCTCTTTCAGGTCTAATTTTTGTAGTTTTTACCATGTTTAGCCACAATAGAAATTTGTAAACTATATTAATTAATACATCAACTACTGTTTATCATAGTACGGTTGTTTCACGTTTCACTAAAAGAATAAATGCCAACATAATTATGATATTGAATTTATTTTATCGTTATTCCCTGACCTTTACTCTAATATAATCTTCAATTCTTAATAACTATTAAAAAATTACTACCTGATTTGTTATTACGTTCGTATTAATTATATTTTGTGCTTAGGTGAGTACTGGGTAACGTACAGCAATGTAGGGATTATATATATATATATRTATATGACATACACGGTGTTTCAAAAGTCTTCATACGATTTCAAAAATTAATATTTATCATAAAAATGAAGTTATAAGGGTGAAAAAAATAAAATGTATTCTTATATTGKTACCTAATAATATTGGTATACCTAACCTATATATTGGTTACAAATGTTCAATATGGCCCCCACTGGCATCCCGAACATACATATATGCAGTATTCAAATTTCTCCCAGACGTTGTTGATCATAACTGGTATCACGGCATTCACAGCATCTGTGATTCTAATTTTAACGAGGGGTAAACACCTTGAGGGTATGGGGGTAATCAGTGTACAAGGTGCTGGTAATCATGGATATTCATGGGGGTAATCATAGGTAATCATTGATAATCATAGGTAATCTTTGTGGTTAATCATGGGTAATCATAAGTATAATCATTGAAATCAGTAATCTGGTGTACAAMATTTTTGTTAGGTATTTACCCCTCGAATTTTAAGCTCTTCCATATAAGTAGGCAATGGTGGCACATACATTTTATATTTTACGTAGCCAAATAAAAAAAATAAAAATCACACATTGTGAGTTCAGGGGAACGTGCTGGTCAGGGATGAATCGCCAAATCGTCGTTTCCTTTACGCCMAATCCAACGCTGAGAGAGTTCGACGCACAGATATAGACAATAAACTAGATAGCTAACTTGTATAAATTGACAAGCAATCCGGTAGACGCCGATTTTCCGCCATGTTGCTTGTGGGCTATGGTATTTTATCAATTCTTATCGTTGTGATAATACTAAAGATATAAAATAATTAATATTATTATTATTATTATGGTTCATGAACTCAGAAATATTTACAATCATTATTGAAAATTCAATATTCATACATCATTATTATATTTGATTTACCCATAAAAAAAAAAACCTTGTACTACATAATATAAGCAATAATATAATACACAGGTAATATTTATCGATTTCCGATGAGCAAAAAATGTATAACTACAAGTTATTAAACAAAATTGACTTATGTAMCTTGTCTTTTGTTGACTGAAGCTTTCAGAATAGAAGAATTTAAAATTTTGCTATAAGAGTGTATACGAATATTTAAATACATACGACTTACTAGATTAATAATATTTATCTTGTGTGGATGTATATCGTGTATGCATGTATGCACATCAGTGTCTTCAAAACATTTATTTGTTTCTGCAAGTATATTTTTACACAATGCAAGTGAGTTTTGAACCATTACCATTATTTTTTATTAGTAATTGTCTTTTGTCAATAATTTTACACCTAAAGTATTGTTCAGTTAGTTTGACGATTTTGAAAACACTTTCAGATGCTAGTTGAAGACTTCCTCGGTTTTTTACATTTATCAAGTTATTAAATGCTTTTTTATTTTTTTGATAATAGTCATGGTCATTTGTGTTATTTGATACATCAAATATTACACATTTTATTTTTTATACAAACATATTTTAATTTAATTTTAATTAATGATATATAATTATACATGATAGTGTATAATTCATTTTTCAATATATTATATTTTTAAAATATATTTATGATTGGATTTTAAATACCCGCCAAATGATATATTATATATCACGTTAATCATATTATTATGATAACACTACAGAGCCCACAACCAACATGACTTTTTTGGCGTCGACTGTTATCACTAGTTAGCAATCTAGTTTATTATCTATATCTTTGGTTCGCCCACGTTCGCCGTACCTAGTTCACTATAATCATTACAGAGTGTCACATTTATCAGCTAGATAACTTAAAATAAACTTGGTTATCTTACCTTTCCATTTAAATTGATCGTTAACTTGTGATTAGCGTTACCGAACCATATCAGTTCGCAATCGGATGAAGACCTTTGAAACACTGTGTAATATAAAATATGTTTTATATAAAATTGGGAGTTTTATTAATATGTTAAGAGGACGCTACACCCGCATACGTTGTCTCCGTCTTACAAGTGCGTAACAYAGCAAATTTTATGCTCAGCAGATCACGTTTAACTCCGTTAGTTTAAAATTTAGAGCGCTTTCAGACGAGACACTTTGTAGCCGGCCACTGGAATCAGTGTCTGGCGGCTGACGGGGACAAAACACGCCGATTCGGTGGCGCGACACACAGTCTGTGTCTGTGTCTCGTGTGTACGAGTATATTTATAGCAATGTTATCTTAGTCGCRWGATTCWTTTCAAACATAAGTAGCCGGCTACAAAGTGTCTCGTCTGAAAGCGCTCTTAGAGTAAATTGACCTCTTACGAAAATTAAAGGTAACATTATTATCGAGGGCATGACGTAGGCTTTTTATTATATTTTAATTTTAAAGTGAGTTATGTGTATTTTAAGATATACAAACAATTTACAATTTTAAAATACACATAACTCACTTTAAAATTAAAATATAATAAAAAGCCTACGTCATGCCCTCGATAATAATGTTACCTTTAATTTTTGTAAGAGGTCAATTTACTCTAAATTTAAACTAACGGAGCTAAACGTGATCTGCTGAGCATAAAATTTGCTATGTTACGCACTTGTAAGACGGAGACAACATATATGCGGGTGTAGCGTAGTCCTCTTAAATTATATTCAAAACATCATACCTAAACAAAAATCATCTCAAATAGTTACATTTTTAAATTCGAAAACTAATTTTTAATTTTTAAATTTTTTTTTTAATACTCGAAAGACACCTCTATTGTATTATAGTATTATAATAATAATATTATAAATTCCGTTGTCCAATATAATTTACCATGAGGGATATTTTCAAGATAATTTCCTACGAACAGTTATTATAGTCATTCTCATTACCATGAAATCTGAAAAAATGTATGTTCGGCCTAATACATTACATATTAGGCATAATAGGTCCAAAGTAAATTTTTAATATCGTCCAAATAATTTTTATTTTACAAATAATTGGTATGGATTACACTTGCAATTATGCCTATAAATTAGTACGCACAATTTATTTACAGATACCAACACATCAGTATAAAAATGTATTTGCATTAAAATATTACAGTTATAAATAAGTTAAAAACAAAAGAAACATTTATAAATGTATTCATATAAAATATATATATAAATATAATTATATGTATCCAGTGATTTTGTATTATATAATTATACGTATTTTGAACACTCATTATTTTAAAAGCCTTTTTTAGTTTTTATTGCATTTTMTTTTTAGAAATAATAAGTGTTCATGAAAACYAATAGTATAGTGCACTATTAAAAAATAAATCGCCCTTTATAATATTTCATAGCATAAAATATAATATGTGTATAGATATTCGTTAGATATATGCAGTGAAGAAACTTAAACGTCCCCAGGTCGATTYAAATCTATTAACCAATGAGAACGATCCTTTGATTCGAAAAATTTAAGATGGTTCTTGTAAACGGCAAACCAGACAAATCCAATAACCAGACATATTATTACCTCGACATARTAGCCATCCACAATCTTCTCACAATTACCATTGTTTATAATGCATATCTACACAAATTAAAGACAATGGTTTGCTGCAATTAAACATGTACAGTATTTGTAAAAAATATATTATAACTTATTTAGGATTCAAATTAAATGACTATCGGTATATAACTTAACAATACTTAAGCCTTACATTTTCTAAATCTGRCGTAGAACAACTATTTTGGACGTCATTGGAACACGAACTAAATGTTAACGTGTCGACCATTTTAAGAAATGACGTATTTGGTATTACCCATCCAATGCTGCGAACAGTGTTCAGCAATGTCATGTACATACCTCCGAACCGAATGTCACTAATTCGTGAGAAAAAAGCTACCATACAGGTTACCATGATTTGGGCCAGTATCTAAAATAAAATAAAATTCATTACGTCATAATAATATTTTTGTAGATAAATTAAAACAATAATAAACGATTTTCGACATTTTCGATTCCTTAGAAATATAAATAACATATAGGTATCAACTAATAATTATTCGGATAGTTTCATTTCCTACCCAAATTATTTGAATAGATTCAATAAAACCGTTAGTCAGTGAGCCAATGAAACAAACAATTTAATAAGACTTGTCTAGAATTTATTTAATTTTAATTTTAATTGTTTATATTAAAATATATTTAGAAGTTGTTTTTGTTTAACTATTTGAATGGTTCGTGAAAGAAACAAGCACTTATAGAAGTCAACGTCACGCGTGACAGCAAACCACCACTTCGTGACCACATMGATGAAATGATATTAATTAATTTTTGTTTTTTTTCTTTTATATGAAACAATCTGTGTAATGTTTATTGTATTTTTTACAAGCCTCACGAAAATGTTTTTTTCTCTTAAAAATATCTCTATTCTCGATAAATTATAAATATTATAAAATATACCCTTTAAGTTCTTCAATTGGGGGGTGTAGTGGTCGGGCGGATTAAGGCGTCACGCGTCGGTTCGAATCCCAGTCATGGGCGGCATCGCTTTCCGGGCAGTTCATGCTGTATGGAAAGAGAGGCCGCCGCCCCCCACCCGGTCATGGCAGAAACCTACAGGCGCCCATTCGAAATTCTGCCAAAACATCCACGAGTACCAAAAACGACAGTTCCCTACTCGACAGTTCCACAGGCTAATGGCCCTTGTTATTGAAGCCTCAACCCCCAATAAAAAAAATTCTTCAATTAAATTTAATAAATAAAATGTATATAAAAATCCAGGATTTATCTGCTTAAAATAAAACTATTGACTTACCCTGTTTACTGCGTATACAAGTCCCATAATTAAATAATAATAAATTGGCACTGATTCATTGTTTTGAATTACATTTGGAGTGTAATAAATTAGAACAGCAAAAATAATACTCCACAGCAATCTGAAACATTATTAATTTCTCAAGAGATTCTTATACCATATTTCTAGATTAMTTTGGATCACTTTCTAGATTCCTTCGAAATGTATGAATAGAAAATAAATTTAATGACAGTAAAAATACTATGTAAAATAATAGTTAGGATAACGAGCCAAAAATGTATCATAAGTAAAAACTTTATTATTTTAGCAGAGATTTTCAAATTTATACCTGGCTGGCATAAGTTTTAGATATAAGCTTATCGGTTTCGGACCCGTAGTGTATTTGGTTACGAATATTGGTAGGCACATTTTTAGAATAAACATAGCAGTAGTTATTATCATAACGTCATCTTTTGATACACCAGCGTCGATAAGCTTTAAATTTGTTACGGATTCTGATGTAGACAATCCAATCTAAAACATTTTATAAGAAAATTTAATAGAAAACGATGAAAAATTACAAAGCAATTAAAATAATTAGAAAGAATACTTATAATTGTATACAAAGCAATAATAATAATAATAATAATAATATAATAATGAAATTACTATCATTAAAAATATTTCAACAAATTATCAAACAAAAAATTATTTTATTCGTAAAATTGATGTATATAATTTTGTTGTTTT